GGGAGAGGGAGAGTATCGTGTTTCCTGTTTTATTTCGCCATGTTCCTTTTTTTAACAAATACACCCTCCAACCAATCTTTCAGTCTCTTAGACAAGCCGCCTACATAGGTACGTATATTGATAATTAACCTTTTTTCTTAATTATGGCCTGTTATTGGATTTGAAGACCAAATAATGATGTGAAAAACAAACACCGAGCCCAGTTTTCCAGTTTCTTAAAAATAGACTAGGCATTAACTGATGCATATATATTGACACAGGTCCATAGCCTGACTTATGGTCATAGAAGAGAAAATCACTTGTTTCTTCGTGTCTTTAACATATATTGTATAGTTTTCCCTCTAGTAAATGTCTGCTGAAGTGTACTTGCCCACATGGTCGACCTAAACTGAACGTGAGCTCCTTGTTAGAGAACTGTAGTTCCCCATTTTTTCTACAAACGAAATAGGAAAGCTTTTTATTTATTGTTGGTGATTATTGTTGTTCTTGTTTCCAACAACAATTATATTAGAATTGTATTGGTTTCGTCCATAATTATATTAGATAAGTTCACTTATTTATTTTTATTTTTTATTTTTAAAGGCGAGGAGCTTCTAAAATGAAAGTTTTATACTTTTTGAGGGTGTTGCACCATAAAAGTATTTAAACAATGCACATTATCAACGACTTTTTTTTTTTAATAATCATAACAGTCATGGCTGATAATTGTAACAAAAACCATGGCTTCACTAAACAATCCCTAAATCTCTCGAATACTTTTTTTGCATGGATTATTTAACTACTGAGCCAAAGAGAATTTTCTTTGTTGCAATCTTTTTTTATGATCCAACACGCAATTGGGAGCGTTGGGAGTAGGATCATTTACCTCCTAGAATCTTAAAGGTTAAAACTCACGAGTATATATTATAAAAAAAGAATAAAATTGAAATTAATATCTTTAATTCCAATATCTTGTTTTGTAAAAAGAAAAAGATAGTGTTAATTAAATATATTTTAGCTGTAATGTATAGACAGGGTACTCGTTGCCCGAGAGATACCAGTCAAGTTCAGAAGAGCAAAAAGGGAAGCAGAATAAAGAATCTCTTGTGGCAGGCTAAATGTTGGATTGTAGTTGAAAAAGTGCGTGCCAGGCCCTCAAGTCCCGGGTTCGGGTAGGGGGAAAAAACCCTAGTTTTCTTCTGGGTTTAATTATATCCTTAATCGATCGGCACAGTTTAATCTAATTGCTATATATATATATATATATATATAGACACGAACACTTCTTTTTCTAGTGTTCATCTAACATTCTCCAAATGGATGTAATTCAAAGTGGTGTTTGATATGTAAATTACTTATGTATGTGTTTATATATCTAAGTTTAATTAATAAAATATATTATGTAAACCTAAATTCTAATCCAGTTTCTTAAAAATATCATTATCTTTTGATTTTAGCTTACGATAGAGATTGTATATATTCAACGTAAATCAATAAAAGAAATTTAAAAAACGATATTAAGTTGAAGAAAAATAAAACTCTATAATACCTAAATACTTTTATCGGTACAAGATCTATATATTAATAATATTATTGTTCAAATACGCATTATTATTATAACGACTATCATTCCCAACAGGTGGAGCACATATATAAATAGATTAATCCTATGCCAGAGTTAATTACATGCATTAATCTAATCAGGTCACAGTACAGAATTGAGAATAAACTAAAAAGCGAGTAATTATCAATAATCCAGCAATCTTTAAGAAGATGACTCCTTGTTAAACCAAAATTTGCTGTTGAGATTCCATGATCCCGACTTAATTAAGTACTGCAATAAAGTGAAAGGAGTTAATGAAGTCAATTGAACATGCCTGCCCACCCAAACATAACCTCTAAAGGTCGCCACTAGCAAATGTTCAGCAAGAAAACATAGATATTTCGCTGGTCGAATGATTAGAAGGATGCATGATGAGAGAATGATGTATCTTTTAGTCCCAGATTATATTTATTGATACTTAAAATCAATAAATTCCACATATAATTTGCAAGCATGAGGCGACTCGACAATGGCCACATCATCCACTAATGAGTTATTTGAGTGGGGGTCAGCTTGTTTTTGCCACCCTTGTCTTCACCAGAGACAAACCCTAAGCACATAAAATTTTAATTAATCCAGTAGTTTGGAGACCCTGAATTTAGGAAGCTAGGCTGGCTTTCCAACTCGATCGTGAGCACGATTCCTTTGCCGGAGCTTAATTTGATTTCTTTTTCATGCATTAGGGTTCATACGTGCAATTTTCCGATCGAAAAGAATCAGATTGAAAGCTATATATGCACGTCTCCCATGTTTGAAATGTTAATAAATACCAACAATATTAGTTTGATTATATATATATATATATATATATCTCCAGATACAACAACCCTACACGTAAAAAGAGACGGGTCACAGTGCCCCATAGAAATACAAGCTTCATTTGCCCTTTTTTTTTGTGTGTGTACGGAAAAGGGGGGAAAAACATCTTATTGAAAAAATTATTTGGTTTGAAATTTGTAAAAACATTAATTAAAAAAATAACATAAGAAATGAGCCAAGTTAGTATAGGTTAACCCATTAAACACTATTTCCGAGTCATGAGGTCAAGATAACCTTATACAAATTAAATCAAAATAAATCATAAAATTTAATTCTCAATCAAACATAATATTAAATGATAAAATTAAAAAAATCAATTAAAAAAATAAAAAATTAAGTCAACTAGATTATCCTGCCAAACCCGCAATCCAGTTCATAGGACAATAACAAACTAACATAAATTATGAAGCTTAATTTTTAATTAAACACAATATTAAATAAAAAAATAAAAAAAATCAATAAAAAAAACCTGAGTTAACTAGATTAACCTGCCAAATCAGCAATTCAGTTCATAAGACATTAACGACTTAGTATAAAACAAATTCAATGTTAAAGGACATGAGACCAAAATAACTTTTTAAAAAGAAAAAAATGACATAAATTAATTAGAGTTAAAATATAAAAACTCATGATCCTGATCATAAAAGCAAAATATCTCCATAAAAAAATATTAAAATAGATTATGAAACTTAATTCTTAACTAATATAATATTAAATGATAAAATTAAAAAAAATAATTAAAAAACACAAAAAACAACTCGAGTTAACTCGAGTTAAACTCATTAAGCGATATCCTCTGGTCATTAAACTTGAAAAACTTTATCAAAAATAAATAAAATAAATTATAAAGCATAATTCTCAATTATTTTAATATTAAATGATTAAATTAAAAAAAATAAAAAAATAGTTAACCAGGTTAATTCTGTTAAACTCGTGATCCATACCATAAAAATAGAGTAATTTAATAAAAATAAATTTAATATTAAAAAATAAATGTTTTTTAAAATATATAATTTAAAAAATATTTTTATTATTATTATCACACCAGAACATGTGGGGGAAAGCATGGAAAGTACCTATTCATTGTGTTTTAGTGTTTTGTTAACATTTGCACATATATGAGATATTGTTTTGGTTTTGGTTTTGGCTCCATTATTTTCAACAACGATGATGCTCGTATTGTGTTTTCTTTTCTTGATGTGATATGGATGCTTAAGTGGTTGGTGGATGTTTTTTTAGGTTTTTTTTTAAAAAAAATATATATTTAAAATATATATTTAAAATTTAAAAATATAAAAGAATTAATTTTAAATAAAAAATTAAATTTTAACAAACTTCTAAACGGAGCTATATGCTCGCTCTAAACGAATAATTCGAATAAAAGATCTGGCACTGTTTAATGCATATGATGGCTAGATATTAATCATTTTAATTTTCTTTTCCATGGAACAAAAGAAAAAAGAAGAAGGTGCATGTATGAGACAACATGGTCAGTATATATTAATGGGTTCAACAGTCATGAATAGCTTTTGGTATGGCAAGGATGCCAAGTACTATAGCTTAAGGGCTGGCTTATAAATGCGTCACCGACCCTACATTGAGGCTAATGGCTAAAAAGACAAATTTATCTGTACGGATCTGGCTGTGTTTTCAACAATGGAAGCCATGGAATCTTGAATTTAATTTGGTGGCTGCCTGGGGTTTGCTAAACACATCTTTTATATGCCCCAACAATAATAGAAGCCAGCTCCAACGAGATATGTCCAAGAAGGAGGCTCCTTTTGATTAACTGTTTAGGCCTATATATCTCTTAGGTTTCTAGCCCACTCCACACATATTTTCATGGAAAGGGTCCTCCTTTCTTCTAGTTCTTTTGGAACATTTTCTCAACGTTGTTGATGTTTCTGGCTCGCTCGAACAAGAAATTGTCAGGTGTCTGCGACTCTGTTCGTGCAATTAGATTTAAGAAAAAAGCTATCTTTCTTCAATTTTGTCATTGTCACTGTTGCTGTCACTATGTCAGTAAATTGTACAGTAAGGGCAACAAACGACGGTGCTACCATACAATATGAATTCATGAAGGCTTACAACTTCATCTCCTTGAAATTAGAAAAGAAAAAAATGAAGAAACCAAAAAAGTAACCCAATAATCAAAATGTGCTTTGAAGTCGCTCATTAGTCATCCTATCTTCAATCTTTCTTTCTTCTCCTTTTTTGTCTTGGAAGCCAGGAAGAACTCTTGAAATATATTGTTTTTCTTTCTCGTTGGAGTCGCTCCTATAAACCTAGTCCAGGCAACGTTATATGAAGCTACCCCATGGAGGCCTCTATCAGTAGTAAGAGCCTATTAGCTTGTTTTCCCATGATCTGAAGCTTCGGAGTTGAGGCCGAGGTCCAAGGACAAAGGCCTGTCTTAACTGCAGGTTCTGCTACCCAAATCGTGAAACATACAGCCTGTTGCTTTATTGATTTTCCCGATGCCTATTGCTCTTGGTCCAATTGTCTCTGTTCATTTCCTCTTCTTTTTTTTGCATGTTCCTTTTGATATTAAAAAAAAACAATTATGAAAAACAATTATAGTAAGCGTTGCAAAACCCTGTTTTGATAACACAACTGAATCTATTACTATTCCCTAGCAAAGAATCATCCATGGTGCATCTTCAAGTTCAAAAGCAACCCTGCTCCTTAACATCAACATCTCCGGTAATGGAAGAAAGAAAAACTCTGCAATCACTCATGGTAGTTGTGGATGTAACATGGAGGAATGCAGCTCATCTTACTATGTGGTTTCTGAACATGATTTTTGAAAATAGGGATACAAGGTTGATACATTAAGATATGTAAAACAGGCTTTTCAAAGTACTAAACGCAATTTCCCATACAAACAATTAAAGCAGCAAATGTATATCAGTGGGGCAGTAATTGATCATCTCCCTTTTGGCTCACTCATAAGAGGCACACTACTTAATCAATACATGATAATTTAATGATCAAGGTCACTGGGAAAGAAGCTTCCCTATAAATCACATAGCAGCACATCAACCCATTGCATACTTCTGGGTCCAGCTCCTTGCAGTTGTCTCGTATTTGCTCCTGTCAGTCTTGTACATGTGGGCAATCTCAGGCACCAGAGGGTCATCGGGATTTGGATCCGTCAATAAAGAACAAATCGAAAGCAACACCTGAAAACATATGAATGAGAAACTTTCTCCTTTTGCATAACACAAGCAGATAAACCACAACTAGCAGAAATCAAAACCGGGAGCACATCAGAGTATGATTTCAACAACTTGGCAAAATGACTGCTCTCATGTCCCAAGCAAACATCTAACGCTATAGGATGAAAAAAAAAAAAAGAAAAAAACGCAGCTGGGGAATGAATTGTCAACCATGACATCTACATAACTCACGACCAAAAACTTTAGGGAAAACCTTGTTGCATTTGACAAATGCGTTACAATGCATTTCAGAAGCTTGATTTCAACTTAAAAAAGGGGATACCAACCAGCAACAATCTTATTCATATAAAATTTTGAAACTTCTATAAAGTGTTCAAAAACTCATGCAAATCAAATAACTACCACTCCTTTGTGCTCTAGATAACATTTAAAGACAAAAAACACCATTATGAATGAGACCTTCAAAATGACGAGAATCTATCAGCAAACTGTGGCAAGTGATCAATTTCATGACTATTTTCTGTTGCTGCAATGCCCCACTAAGAATATAAGACATGACAATGAAAACAAAAACCTAAGCAGGTAAAATAATTTTCCCATGTTAGCACACCCCAAAAGCACATGCAAAACTCAAAAGTGTATTTTGCCTTATTTTGGTTGGTAATGTCTTTCATCTAAGAAGCACAAAAGTGCTAGGGATAATTAAAATTGAAAATAATTAAAAAATTATAAAACATTCATTTTTATACAGCATATTTATGTTGCTACTAAATAACAACCTTAGATATAGTGAGGGCAGGGCTCCACTGCTCCTTCAAGATATCAAGGCAAATGCTACCATTGCTGTTGATATTCGGGTGAAAGACCTTTGTCCTGAAAGCAACCTGCAAGAATATCCAAAAGAATGGCAACAAAGTGAGTAAAATAGAACTACAAGAAAATAAAAAAATTCACCCATTCTATGAAACTTCTCAGAATGTTTAAAACAAATGGCGATAACCAACAAAGCCATTTCAAAGACAGATCAAAGAAGAATGGGAAACCTCTCACTGGTTTTTAGAATTCGATATCAGGAGATTCCAAATTTGATGACGTGAAGCACAAAGTGCCCACAAAAGCAATGACTATTTGCTCTTCAAAGGGATATAACAGTATCCTTCTTCTATTCATCTGCATCGAGGATCGCTCACACAGACATTAGGACTACCAAGAATGATACAGACTTTATCTTCCCAGGTTCAAAAACACCTGTTTCGGATATCTAGAGCACGTTCCAGACCATGGCCACGACTCTCTCCAGGAAGAAGTTCTTGAGTTCCTGTTGTCTCTTTTGGCACTAGTCTCTTTATGGGCCTCGGTGAAAAAAAGAGACTACTCATCTCCAAGGGAAAGGAGGGCAGCTTGACAGGGGCTGGCAAGAGAAAAAATCCTTAAAACAAACCCCTTGTTTTGATGCCAGCAGATGCTCTTGATAAGTTCACAGTTTATAGCGATTCTTTTGGAACTTACAAGACTAAGTTCCGCAAAATGGTATTCTTGGAGCTTATATGCCTAACATCTTGTGTCAAATATTCTACCATCAATTGAGCAACAAACAGGATGATGTAGCAACAACGAAAACAGATTCAAGCAACTGTGGATAGAGTTTGACGTCATCTTCAATACAGTTTAGCAATGAATGTTCCCAACCAATGAGCACCAGTAGATGCAATTGTGGTTGCAACTCTAAACCATAACCACTAATTTTAAGTTGGCTGTGATGTCTAGCACAGCTCTTCAGAAACAGACATATCAGCTTACACATAGCATCTCAAGATGAAAACAAAATCCTGCCATGTTTGTTAATGGTTCATGCTCTAAATGTTCATGCTAGTATACCAAATATGAGAAAGTACCATTATTCGGAATGCCCAATCACATAATGGTAGTTCAAAGGAAGTGACAAGTCAGGGAGGAAAATATGAAACTGCTACGCGATGATGACCTTGTTAAGTCAATTAAGTACCTTAGGAGGTTTAAATGGATAGTCTGGAGGAAAATGAATTGTAACCAGAAAGACCCCCCCTGCATATGGACTATCAGGAGGACCCATAATCGTAGCTTGCCAATGGAACATGTCTTCAGCAACAGGGCCTAAAGATGCATATCAATGAAAGCAGAAAAAAATCAGGGGAGGGACCGTTCTGAAACTAACCTAAAATACCAGAGTTGGAAGTTAATACATAGTAAAACTACAAATAGAAGAAAACAAAGCAGATTGCGCTGTAATTCTTGCAACAGAAAAAAGGATTTCCATGAATTCCCAATCAGAATTTTGGAAATAGAAAGACAGAAAATGACCACTACATTTGTGGCAGAGCATTTTGCTTGCCCTTGTAGCTACACCATCATAGATTTCAGACAAAGAATTCTTCAATTTTTAGATTTAACAAGATTTAGCACAATAAAAACTTAAAGGAAATTGTAGAAGACATACTACAGATTGAGGTTCGACCCAAAAAATACACAATAGCTCATGACTTATATTGCTCCGTGTATATAGAACATCCTTAAAACCAAACTCTTCTTCACTCCAAGCAATGAATATCCACAAGGCCCTAATCTAAGTCTTTTCCTTCCAACAATAGCAACACCTTATTTTGAATAGAAGGTCTTGTATGTTCAAACCATTGTTTACCACTTTCCATCAATAACAAATGCAGCCCTCAACTTGTTGAAATTTCCATCCACAAACAAGTTTTCACCTCTCTGATCATCACAAACATAGACCGAATCGGTCAAGCTAAAACTCCATTTAAACATACTCATCTCGCAACCACAACTCTCAAAAAAGAAATAACCTTTTTTCTTTCAAAACAACTTCAGAAGGACACATCATACACTGAAAAAAAAAACTTATAAAACCTTATTTTGTCCAAAAAAAACACCAAAAACCAAAACATAACAAAGACAGCTCCATTCTTACACGAAAGAAAATGAAAACGAAAACCCATAAATAAAAAGCGATTAGATCTCGATTTCAACCTGCGCTGCAAGAAGTAGGAGGATCTTTCTGGAGATCCTTGAGTTCTTTCAAGATCCGTTTCGATGCCATCACTTACCAAAGCCCCCCTGCAAAATTCACCAGCTCTTAATAAAAACTAATAATAAGAAATAAATAAAAAAGAATTATAGCACAGTTGCATGTGATCAAAGAAAGAACGTGCAGTACCTGAGAGATCCCCCCCCTCCTTGTTACACTTGTTATTATGGATTGAAGATTCTTTGAGATGGGGAAAATGAAAAGGGAGGGGGAAATCTGATGAATGGACAGAACAGTTTTGTAAGACCAGGGAGAGTAATTAGGTGGTGTTATTATTGTTAGTGTGAATTGTCTTTGTGGTGATTGGTTGATTCCTTTTTATCCTTTATGGGGGGACCCACAGATTCCTTCAAATCCATAGACATGAAGTGTTTTTGTAATAAGCTGGGGTAAATTACATTTCGGTATGTCAAGCTTTTGGCTTTTAACATTTTAATCTCTTTACTAAAATCTTTGGTACACTTACCCTTACACTTCCTTCCTCTACGTGATTCTTTCAGTATCTTCCATTTGATGTTTACTAGATTGATTCTATATTAATGCCACTACAGAGCCTGTGCTGATTTCCTACAGGGATATATACAAAAGTGATCTTGAAGTAATTATATGGACCCCGTGAAGCTTTAGATTGCATATTTTGTGGGATAAAATCTTGAGATCATATAATTAAAGTAGATGGTATCTCATAAAACTAGCCCAGACATCATTACATTGTGTGGTAACACGTGAAGATTATATTGATTAATTCCGCCAGTACAGGAAAACACAAGTAAAATCACTAGTTACTCTTTCTGAAGATCAGTTTAGCACCAAAGCAAACTGATCTTCAGGGAAGACTAACTGAATCTTGATAAAGAATGTCTGTCCTTCGAGCTTATCCGACTTCACGCTTTTCAATAGCAATCACAGTGGGGCATCAGGGTTCTCTCTGCTTAAGTAGTCGTTCATAAAATATGCAACTAGCATGATTTTGCATTCAATCAAGAATATTAGTTGAGAGAAAAATGCTTTAACATTTACATGGATCAATAAGCTGCTGATGCACAGAACCACTTTCTCAGGCATCAAAAGTCCACTGATATGCTGATTTGCCCAACCTTATCTCTCTCACTAGGATCTAGATGACTAAAGTTTCATCAGAAACAGTTCACTGGAACAGTATGCAAAAATTGAGATGATAAAAAACCAGACAGGGAAAAATAAAGAAAAAGATTTAAAAAATAAAGAAAAAGGTAGACCGAATGGATCAGCTTGCTCTTAAGGAGATTCAGGATTCTCTTTCAACCAGCAGAGGTGGCGGTGTAGAACTTTCAGAAGGTTGATGATTCTCAGGATCGATCTGCCGGACATTCTCTATCATTTTCACCACCTCTGTCATTTTAGGTCTTTGGTCTGGCATTCTCACCACGCAGGACATTGCTATCTGCAACATCTCCACCATCTCTTCCTCGATGTTTGGATACCTCATCAGCTCAACATCAAACACCTCAGCTGTCCACTCCTCCCTAACAACAGAATGAACCCACCTGACTAAGTGGATAATCTCATCACTTCCAGTGGTATGAATGGGGGACTTTCCAGTGAGAAGCTCCAGTAACACCACTCCAAAGCTGTAGATATCAGAAGGCTGTGCTGCTTTCCGGGTGTCTGCTATTTCTGGGGCACGATAACCAGCAGCACGAGCAATTGGTGGGGCTAATGAGCTTGTTATAGTCACTAAACCAAGATCAGATACACAACCATAACACTGAGAATTAAGAAAGATGTTGGAGGATTTGATGTTTCCATGGACAAATTTCCCACCATTCTCTGCATGGATAAGAGCAATGCCTCTTGCTGCACCTATAGCAATTCTCATTCTGGTGTCCCAATCAAGAGGGATTCGCTCACCTCCTCTTTTTCCTGCAAATTTTCCCAATGCATCAGATGATATATGCAACTCCAAGTCATTAACCAATTTACACACAAAAGAAAACAGCATGGAGGAGATCAACAAGCATCCACCACATGGTATGTCTTACTAGAAAATTCTCAAAGTTGAGGAATAGCCATACATGATCGCAAGATTTGACTGTTCCTCAGACAGCAAACCTTACAGTTCCATTATGGCTTACATGACCAACCAACCTTCTCCTGCACTCGGATGAATCTTCATGTGACAAGTATTCAACTAAAGAGCAAATCAATCCTTTCTGGAAAATAATGGAAGCATTTGTTCTAGAAAATTCAATTTTAGTAAAGATGTCATAGTTTTTCAGTCGTGTCTCACATTGATCTCACCACTAAATTACAACTATCTGATATCATGGATTTCCTGCTAAAAATAGATACTCAAACTGTGCAGAGATCACATATGGGGAAAAGAAAAATCATGAACAGACTCAAAGATTATCTCGATAAGTCCATCTACGAAACTCTCTTTCCATTTCAAGAATCTCAGTAATTCTCAATTCAATCACTAGCTTAACTGCAATTTAGGAAAGGATTCCCCTCTTGATTGCACTTAAGGGCCACAGTTTCTGTTAAATCTTACAGCTTTGCCTAAATATTCCTAAATAGGACACAAGCACATACTCCGCCATCAATATTACTTTCATGCATTCTTTTAGGCAGTAAGAGTTACAACGCATAGATGATGAAACAAGAAGTCCACCTTTACTTTTCCAAAGTACACCACACCTAGCAAGGCCAGCAGGGCATATCATGCATGAACCGAAGCCCATTCAAAGATAGCAACAAAAGTTGGCTGCCTTGCCCTTGAGTAGTGGTCCTTAAGCAGATCTTTCAACAAGCATGTATCAGACATTAAGCAAATATGTATTAGAGTATTACACTATCAGAATCATCTAGAGGATAGGTGCGGTGAATTTCCTCCAGTTAAGTTGGAACAGAATTCACACATGTATAATGCATGCATGTATGCTATGACAAGAACTCAAACAGAACCTGCATGTATGCTGAATAAATAATCTTTGAAAGCATCTAGTTCTGAAAATGAAATTTACTAATACTGGCATTTTATTTTTGCTGTTTTAGAAATGGCAAGCATAAATGAACTCCAAGAATGTAAGCAAAAAAAAAAAAAAGAATATTGAAAAAAGGCAACATACCATGTAGCATGGAGGCAACGCTCCCCTGACTGTAATAATCATACACCATCAGCTTCTCATCTTTGGAATAGTAATACGCCTTCAGTTCAACCACATTCTCATGCCTAATACTTCCAACAACCTCCATCTGCTGCTCAAAGTCTCGCTTCCCAACACTCACTTCCTTCAACCTCTTCACAACCACTGTGGTTGCGTCCTCCAGAATAGCCTTATAAGCCATACCAAATGTACCTTTTCCCAGTATCTCAGCAGAAGCCCTCAACAAATCTTCCAAATCAAATGCATAGTTACACCCCTCAAAGAAAGTCAATCTATTATTAGCATCCTGACTCCTTGATACCACTTTCTCTGGGGACATTCCTCCTTTCTGCAACTTCCCTGAAAACTCATCCTCGCCCTTCTTTCTCGAGCAACAAACAACTATCAAGTAAACAAATGCTACAAGCCCCAAAACACAAGCAGCAACTATAATCCCTAGCAATGCTTTTTCACCAAGTCCCCTACTATTCCTAGATCTTGGATAGGGTGTGGCAGATGGAGTAACAACCGGCGGAGCATGAGGAGGAAAAGCTTCAAATGGAATGTTGTTACCAGAAAACACTGACTTAGGGAATCTTCTAAGTGACCTTGGTACACTACCAGTAAGATTATTATTAGACATGTTTATCTGCTGCAGCTTTGGTAAATTAAAATCAGGGACTTCACCAGAAAACGAATTGTTCGCGAGATTCAAAACAGCAAGGTGACTCAAATTCGAAAACGAATAAGGAATACTCCCATTAAACCGATTGTTGGACAGATTAACAATGGTAAGATTAGTCCAAACAGAAAAATCAAATGGCAATGACCCAGATAAATTATTATACTGAAGATAAAGAAAAGACAAATTCTTTAAATTAGAGAAATCAAAAGGGAACTCCCCACTGATACCATTAGATCTAAGGCTCAAAACCTGCAATGCTGAGAGACGACTGAGAGTATTTGGTGGAATCGGGCCATGAAATCCAACACCAGGCAACCTTACAGAAATTACACGAGTCCCATCTCCACTGCAAATGACTCCACTCCAGTTTTTGCAAACTGGGGAGCTCTCATTCCAGTTTAAAGACCGAGAATGTGGCAAATAGTTAACAAAATCAAGCAATGCTTGCTTATCCTCAACTGGGTCTGCATTTACTTGAAACAAAACAAACCACACCAGTAAAATGAAACACAAAATGTGCTTCGCTTCCATGGAAGCAAAAAAACGAGCTGTTTCTTGCTTTTTCCTTGGAGGGTTTTGTTTCACTCTCTCTCTCTTTCCCTGCAAAATGGCGTCTATGGTTACAAGCCAGGACAAAAATAAATGAATAAAATAAAAAAGTACGACTTCTAAAATAAAAAAACGAACACAGAATGTGAATAAACGAGGGAAAGAGCAAAAAAGAGAAAGGCAAATTCCGAGATAATTGTCTAGAAAAGTAGAGATGAACTCTGGGTTGTTTTACACGTTAAAGAACGAAACTTTTGCAGACTTTGAATAATGGGTTTTGGTCAAAAAGTGGACTCATTTCAATTTTTAAAGCAAGAATTTCTTCACCAGATTCATGCTCTTCTCTTTTTGTTTTTTGCTTCCCTAACTTTTCTGCTCAATTTCTCAAAAAACACAAACATCACAAAACCCAACACAAAGGTAAGCCAGCACAAACAATCTTACTCGCTCTTTTGCAACATAGTACACACACGCTTAACAGTTGACTCGTACCTTAATTTTTCAGATCTGTAACACTAACAAACCAACCTCAAGCAAAACCCAGAATTACAAATTAGTAGCATACTAAGAAAATGCATTCCAATGAAATGACACATTGCATGACAAAGATGAATTAGATAAAAATAAATAAAAAATAAAAAAGTGAAAGAAAGAAAGGTGAAAACATACAAGTTATGATTTCTTTGAAGGGTAAAGTAGCTTGAAAACAATAGTGCTCTCAGTTCTGCAAGAGTACTATAAATAAAATCTGTCAATATTTTTCATGCTGGAGAGAGAGAGAGAGAGATAAATTAACAACGGCTATGTTTCATGGGTTTTTTCAGTAACCGATAGTGGAAATGCGTGTGTTTTTATGTTTTTGCTAGAAATTATTATAGTCCTTTTTCTTCTTATATTTGATCAAATCAAGTACTTTTTGGTC